CTTACCTTCTGCCCCTCTCTCTCTTTCTTCTTCTTCTGGGATCCCAATTATTCTAATGTTGTTTCGTCTTATCATATCGCTTATCTCTCGAATTCTGCCCTCGTTATCCAGTAGTTGTTTCTCTCTCTTTTTCTCAGCCTCTTTATTTTCCATCATTTGGTCTTGTATATCGCTGATTCTCTCTTCTGCCTCATTTATCCTAGCAGTTAGTGTCCCCATTTTTGATTGCACCTCATTAATAGCCTTTTTGATTTTGACTTGGTTAGATTTTAGGTCTTTTATTTCTCTAGGAAGGGTGTCTCTAATAACTTCCATGCTTTTTTCAAGCTCATCTAGTATCTTTAAGATCATGATTCTGAACTCTAGGTCCGACATCATACTAATGTCCGTATTGAGTAGGTCCCTGGCAGATGGTACTACTTCTTGTTCTTTTTGCTGAGGTGATTTTTTTCATCTTGTCATTTTGTCCAGAGGAGAATAGATGAATGAGAGAACAAAATGCTTACAGGTTAACAATGTCCCCAGAAAATATAGTCTAAACAAATCAGAAAAGATCTGAGACCAGGGGAAAAGGAAGGGAAAGAAAGAAAAAGAGAGAAAAAAAAAGAGAAAAAGTTAAAGATAAAAACAAACAAAAACAGAACAAAACAAAAAAACCAGAATATGATCAAATATGATCAGGCTAGTGCATAGATCAGTGCCACACACTAGATTTTGGGTGTATTTTGTTCTGTTAGAAGAAAGTGCCTCCTAAAATTTTAAAGAAAGAAAGACATATATGAAGAAAATAAGGGTTGATTCAATGAAGGGATGGAAGATGACTATAAAGATGAAAATTATAAAAGATTTTATTAAAGGAATTGATAAGAAGTTTGAAAAAAGAAAAGATTTTTTAAAAAAAGGGAGAGAATGTGATCAATTAGGAGACTAGAACAAAGCCATACACTAGTGTTTTAGGGTATATTTTGATCTGTTAGAAGAAATTGTATCTCAAAATTTTAAAGAGAGAACAACTCATATATATACGCCAAAAATAAAGGTAAATACTATGAAGGGATAGAATATGACTCTAAAAATGAAAAATAAAAAATTTTTTTAAAAAAGGATTGATAAGATATTGGTTGAATAAGGGAAAAAGAAAAATTCAAAAAAAAAACAGTTAAAAAATTAACTTTGGGGCGCCTGGGTGGCTCAGTCGTTAAGCGTCTGCCTTCAGCTCAGGTCATGTTCCCAGGGTCCTGGGATCGAGCCCCGCATCGGGCTCTCCGCTCCGCGGGGAAGCCTGCTTCTCCCTCTCCCACTCCCCCTGCTTGTGTTCCCTCTCTCGCTGTGTCTCTCTCTGTCAAATAAATAAAATCTTAAAAAAAAAAAAATTAACTTTGAAAAACTAATGAATCATGGTAAAAAAGCCATGAATTCTATGTGCAGTATTCCCCTAGCGCTGGAGTTCTCCCATTCTCCTTGATCGGTAAACTTGGTCTTGGCTGGCTGTTCGTGCTGATCTTCTGGGGGAGGGGCCTGTTGCCGTGGTTCCCAAATGTCTTTGCCGGAGGCAGAATTGCTCGGCCCTTGTTGGTGGGGGCTAAGCAATCTGCTCAGGTTTGCTCTCCGGAGCTTTTGTTCCCTGCAAGCTCTCGGTACAGCTTTGTTGGAGGAGTGAAAATGGTGGCCTCCCAATCTCCACCCAGAGGAGCCAAGAACTCGTGGCCCCACCCCTCAGCGCGCCCCCAGAGAAAAGCAGTCAGTCACTCCCGTCTCCCCAGTCTCCAGCGGCACTCTGTGCTCACGGGGTGTGTGACCGAGTGTTTCTATCTCTGGCATCTGACCCAGTGTGGAGTCTCCAAACCCAGCAGATCCCTGCGGTGTGCTCCCTTACCGCTCCTCCCCAGGGAGGAAGGGGAGTATCCCCAGCTCTGCTGCTTGTTGGGTCCCTGCTGGAGGAGTAGTGGCCCTACTGTGCCACGGATCACAGTTTATGGCCACCTCGGAGCACCTGAGCTCTGTCTCTGCAGCTGGCTTCCTCGCTCCGATACCTGGGAGCTCTGCCACACTCAGGCACCCCTGGTCTTTATGTGACCCTTAGGGTCCTGAGCCCACACTGTCCCATGAGGGTTCCACCCCCAACTTGGCCACTGGAGCGACGTCCCTCAGCGGAGCCAACTTCTAAAAGTTCTCATTTTGAGCTCAGCTGCTCTATCACTTGTCAGAAGCAGCCAACGGAGGCCCCCTCCCCTGCCGTCTATCCTCCCGAATATCACCTCGGATTCACTTCTCTGCACATCCTGCCTTCCAGAAAGTGGTCGCTTTTCTGTTCAGAGAGTTGTTGCTATTCTTTTCTTTGATCTCCTGTTGAGTTCATAGGTGTTCAGAATGGTTTAATCCCTATTCAGCTGAATTCCTGAGACCAGACAAAATCCAGGTCTCCTACTCCTCTGCCATCTTTCTCCGCCCCTATATATCACATCTTCTTTATCCACTCAGCTATCCATGGAGACTTGGGCAGCTTCCTTAATTTGGCTATTGTAAATAATGCCGCAGTAAACAGAGGGGTGCTTGTATCCCTTTGAATTAGTTTTTTTCTATTTGGGGAGTAAATACCCAGTAGTCCAATCAATGGATGGTAGGGTAGTTCTATTTTTAACTTTTTGAGGACCCTCCATACTGTTTTCCACAGTGGCTACACCAGTTTGCATTCCCACCAACAGTGTAAGAGGGTTCCCTATACTCCACACCCTTGCCAATACTTCTTGTTTCCTGGTTGTTCATTTTAGCCATTCTGACTTGTGTGTGGTATCTCATTTTAAATTTGATTTGCATTTCCCTGACGGTGAGTGATAATGTTTATCTTTTCGTGTGTATTGGCCATCTGGATGTCTTTTTTGGCAAAATGTCTGCTCATGTCTTCTGCCCATTTTTAAGTTGGGTTATTTGGTTTTTGGGTGTTGAATTGTAATCATTTCCTCATACATTTTGTATACTAATTCTTTTTTTAAAAGTTTTTTTTATAAAAAGATTTTATTTATTTTGAGAGAGAGAGCATGTGTGGAAGCAGGGGAAGGGGCAGAGGGAGGAGAGAATCTCAAGCTGACTCTGTGCTGTAAGGAAGCCCAATGCATGACCTTGAGATCATGTACTTGAGATCATGACCTTGATCTCATGACCTTGAGATCATGTACTGAGGCAAAATCAAAATTCTGATGTTTGACTGACTGAGCCACCCAGACGCCTCTTGTATGCTAATTCTTTTTCCAATATATCATTTGCAAATATCTTCTCCCATTCCTTAGGTTGCTTTTTAGTTTTGTTGATAGTTTCCTTTGCTGTGCAGAGGCTTTTTACTTTCATGTAGTCCCAATAGTTTATTTTTGCTTTGATTTTCTTTGCCTCAGGAGAGCTATCTAGAAAAGTTGCTATGGCCAATGTCAGAGACTTTATGGGCTGTGCTCTCTTCTAGAATTTTTATGGTTTCAGGTTTCACATTTTGGTCTTTAATCCATTTTGAATTTATTTTTGTGTATAGTGTAAGAAAGTGGTCCAGTTTCATTCTTTTGTATGTAGTTGTCCAGTTTTCCCAGCACCATTTGTTGAAGAGACTTTTTCTAATAGATATCCTTTCCTGCTTTGTCAAAGATTAATTGACCATATAATTGTGGGTTTATTCCTAGGTTCTATTCTGTTCCACTGAACCATATTATCTATTTTTATGCCAATATCATCCTATTTTTTCTTTTTTATTTAAATTCCAGTTAGTTAATATATAGTGTAATATTTCAGGTATACAATTTAGTGATTCAACACTTACACACTTACATCCAACACCCAGTGCTCATCACAACAAGCATACTGTTTGGATTACTACAGCTTTGTAATATAACTTGATGTCAGGAATTGTGATACCTCCAGTTTTGTTTTTATTTTTTTAGATTTCTTTGGCTATGCAGTGTCCTTTTTGGTTCCATACAAATTTTAAAATTGTTTGTTTCTGTTCTGTGAAAATTGCTGTTGGTATTTTGATGATAGCATTTGTACTATCTGAAGATTTCTTGGGTAGTATAGACATTTTAACAATATTTATTCTTCCCACCCATGAACATGGAATGTCTTTCCATTTCTTCTCATTGCCTTGAATTTCTTTTGTCAAAGTTTTATAGTTTTCAGGGTACAGGTCTTTCACCACTTTGGTTAAGTTTATGCCTGGATATTTTATTGTTTTTGTTGCAGTTATAAATGGAATTGTTTTCTTAATTTCTCTTTCTGCTGTTTCATTATTAGTGTATAGGAATGCAACAGATTTCTGTATATTAATTTTGTATCCTGAAAATTTACTGAATTCATTTATCTGTTCTAGATTTTTTGTGGACTTTTTAGGGTTTTCTATATGTACTATCATGTTGTCTGCAAATAGTGAAAGTTTTATTTCTTCCTTACCAATTTGGATGGCTTTCATATGTTTATGTTGTCTGATTGCTATTGCTAGGACTTCTAGTACTGTGTTGAATACAAGTGTGGAGAAGGGACATTCTTGTCTTGTTCCTGACCTTACAGGAAATGCTCTCAGTTTTTCCCTGTTGAGTATGATGTTCACTGTGGGTTTTTCATATCAGACCTTTATTTTGTTGAAGTATGTTCCCATTAGACCTACTTTATTAAGGTTTTTATCATAAATGGATGTTCTACTTTGTCAAATGCTTTTTGCAATTGAAATGAAACATCGTTTTTATCTTTTCTCTTATTGATGTAATACATCACATTGACAGTTCTGTGAATATTGAACCACCTTTATACCCCACAAATAAATCCCACTTTATTGTTCTCCCATCACATTAAAATTTTTTTATAACAGAGAAAATATCAACTTATTTATTTGACTTTAAGTAGACAAAGGTAGAATAAAAATGTTAATTTTAATGTTCATAATTTTAATGCTCATAATGTTTACTTTTCTTAAACCAATAGCCTTATATTAACTTTAATACTGAATATTTTCCCAGACCACATGAACTTGAACAGTATTTAGGTTAGTGTCTATCTTTCTGAGAGTTTTAGAATGCTTAATCTTTACAAGTGCTTGCCTCAAACCAACTAAATAGAACTCTTTAACAATAAAACCCTCAGATATATATAGACACACAAACACACAAAGTCCTTACAGTTACTAATTTTTGTGGAAAAGATTTTTAAGATTTGTGTTTATCCCTGGAATGAATCTTTAGGAGGCTCTGCCAGATTTTGGGTACAATCTGTATTATAGAAAGGCCTCTTTCTCTTTTTTCCCCCCTTAGTCTCAGGCAATTGTGGGTGTGTTTATATTTCGAAGACATGATAATATGTATAACTTCAGGGGGCAGACAAAGAATGCAAGTTCCTCCAGGAAGGATTTGGGTTTCCTAAGACCGGTATCTCACAAGCCCTTTGAGATACACAGGGAAAGTTTTGGGGTTGGCAAAAGAATAGGTGAACTTTGAATTGCCTCTTGAACTGACTTTTTTATGGTTTCTGTCAAGGCAATTCAGACAGAGGATAACTTAGACTGAGTATTCAAATAAAGGAGGATAGTGGAAAGCAATAAGAATTATATCAGTCTTATAGTCTTTTGTATTGGATATGTCATTTCTTTTTTCACCAGCTTTTTGTAGTGACACTTTCAAAGAAACTATTTTTGGAATTTTGAAGGTTTTGCTTTTAAGTGCACTTCTTATGTGATCTTATCTGATTAGAATGTTCCTCATAAAGGCCACTGTAATTCTATGTTGTAATTCCCTTGAGGACTGGCAGCAGTTTGGTACAATCCTAGCCATAAATGGATTTTAACTCACATTTCTGTCCAACCATATCTAGTCACAAATAGGGAGTGGCTCACATTGTTGTCTGGCCTTACTTTGTGGCTACCAACCTGAAAGTTACCAAGCCAAGTTGTTAGGGACACAAAACAGGCTTGTAAATGCTTACAGCTTGCAGAATCATAGTTCTTAGATATGAAATAAACAATGTGCGGGAGGTTAGAGCACTTAACTGGATTTTTAAAAATCCCATTTATTTAGTTTTTTGTTTATTTATGTAGTCATTTATTTACTATTTTTTCTTTAAACTGAGGCTTTATCTCATGTACATATTAACAGAAACCAACAATACTGAAGTAGTGGAACTATAAACAACAGCAGTATCCTAATAATTTGGGACTGGGACAAGGATTGAAGCAGCAGACCTCTAAGAATGGGGACTGCAGCCTGATTCAGCACACATGGAGAACTATAGCTGCCACCAACAGTTCCCTACTTGGAATCTGAGTTCAGAACCAAGGGCTAAGTTTAGAAGTTACTGTGAGCTGTTCGATAAAGTGTCTTCTACACTTCACCACCGATGTCCATCATGGACTAAACCAGCAGGTTCCATTAATGAAGACTGCAGACAGAAAGTGGGGAACAGACTAAGCCACCAAAGAGCAGTAAATACGGACTGTAGACTGGAATTGGGGAAGGGATTCCAATGTGGACTTGTGGATTGAACCAAGGGCTAAGGACTGGTGCTCTTTCAGTCTTCAGTGTCAGTGACAGAGTGATCCATTAACCTGGACTTGAAAGGCAATTCAATCAGGAATTCTAATGCAAAAAAGAATAGAGCTCAAAGCAAGATGGACTTACCAATGGCCCTTGGAAATGTTGAGAAAGACCATGAACTCAAAAGGATTCATGGGGTGCCACACCTGTGTTTCTTTTTGTCCCCAAATACAGTCAGAAGTTTGCTTCAGATCTAGACACTGCCACCAAATCTGTTAAAAAACAAAATTCAACCAAGTGTATTCTAAAGACCTAATTGGATTTATTAAATGGTTTATGAATCAGAGAGTATCCCACCTAGCAAATAGAAAGAAGTTCCATCGAGGTACTGAAAGGAAATGTTTTTAAGTGCAGAGAGAAAGCAGATAAGAATCCATTGTTTTAACCAAGTTTGCCCTCCTAAGGGGAGAGAATGGGATCTGTCAGTATAGTTTTTAGTGGTCACCAGGAAATAGCCAAGTTGACTACTGAAAGATTACATCCCTGGGGGTTGAAACTGCTGTTAGGTATTAGCCTCGGTTTACTGACTTGGGGCATAAACTTAAGTGGCTACATTATGACCTTGTGGCTTTCTTTTGAACACATTGCTCCATAGAACTATGAGTCATGTTGTTGAGAGGATAAGAAATGTACGTAGAGATGCACATCTAAGATTTATTGGCGTGGATTTCTCACATTCTCTCCCATTTCTACCCCGGCTGCAGAGGACACACTGCCGGAGGCTGGAATACAGCTCCCAAGGATACCATAAAGTGCTCTGCCCCTGCTCCTCCCACATTGTTGTTGCAGCAGAAAATAATAAATAACAGAACGTCATATACAACATCAAGTGAGGTATGGAAACTTAACAATAGGGCATGGCTTTTGTGAGGTTGAAATTTGCTCAGTACCCAGAATTTTGCTGTCCGCATCTGTTTGCCCTCCCCACCCTATCATTTGGTTTCCTTTTGCTGTATTTTTTCTATTTCTCAGGACTTGTCTCAGTCAGAGATTCCTTGTTCTCTGTGTATTTTCCCCCACATTCCCTGAGAATGCACAGGCATGAAGCCACATCTGATAGGGTTGAAGTCTCACCTTGTTGGCTCCTCCTTGAGGCCCCGATTGTATATGCCTCTTTCACAGTCAGGCTTGCTCCTTCTGCTTTGTGTACTGCCTGCTGTCCAAAGGGGTGATAGTGTTTGCTCTCCAAACAGCAAGGGGTTGGCCCTGCACATGCCACATGCTCAAGATTTCCACTCTTCTGCATGTGAAGAATATTCCTGCTGAGCAGTCACAAGTGCTTTTTTAGTTGCTTAATAGCTGCCCCTTTCAAGCTAGATTCCCACAGTTCTGTCTTCTAAGGAGAATGTCTGCATGCCCCATTCATATGTGTGCCAGTGCAGACAATGTACACTTGGTCTGAATAATTTCTTCCCAAATTTGTTTTTGCCATCCTGTTCTGGGCTGCAGCCTGTGGCTGCCAGGAAACTCCTGGAAGATGTGTCTGATCCCTCACTTTTAGCCAAAGACACCTCTCCAGCCTGCATGCTGCCCAGACATCAGTGGTGACTTGAAGTGACTTGCTTCCTGGTCGAAAAACTTGGTTGTCTGTCAGGTTTGACCAGCAAACCCTGAGAAAACAAATGAAACAATTACTTCAGACACCTTAGTAGGAGAAAGGAGAGGGCCTGGGGACCAGATGCTCTAGTGGTGAAAGGTCACAAGCCAGACTCTGCCTCCACTTTCATTGTGAATATTATCAATACAACAAGGGAATAAGAAAAACAAGAAGGAATGTGAAGCTGTAATAATCAAGACAGTGGCATAAGGAGTACCATGTGACTAGAACAAGCTGTGCTTGTGATGGGCATGCAGACAGGGAGTGTGTGGAATGCATGACCTCCAAATATAATTGCTTCTACTAAGTCAAGGATTTACTCCCTGGATGAGTGCATTGAACCACAATGAGAATCTGGCTGTTTTCAGCCCAGAAATTTCAAAAAGTCCCAGTTTTCCAGACACTTCTTTCCAGACCAGTCTCATCCAGGGAGGCATGTATTTATTAAATCTTCTCTAACCAGGCAATATGAATTCCCACAGTTGTCAATCTCCATAGGAGACAGTATACAAATACTTCACATTCCATTTAGTCCTGAGTATATGATTTCCTTTGTGCCCACATCTCAAGGTATTATAATCCTTCATGATCAGATAGGTCCAGGACTCCAGAACGAGCTCAGTTTGATTGTCAGCAGGCAGGGAGACAGAGGGACCTCCTTATCATGGCTGACTTTTTACAACATTCCACTCAACTCCTGCTTCAGTTTTCACTCACATCAACTTTTCCATTAACGACACTTTATGTACCAGTCAGTCCTCCATGTGGTTTATTTCTCGCATATGGTTTCTGTCTCCTTTTATACACAGGCATGAAGCAGGGGATGGGTGGGGTCTCAGGACAGTTGGGGTGGTTCATAGCAAGTCCTAGGTGGATGGTCCAGCATGACTTTTTAGAACATGGGGATCCATGCCCCCTACTGTATCTACTCCCAGAAAAACAGAGAGTCCTTTCAACACCTATTTCATGAGCCAACATATTTTCTGATAAAAGAAAACACATTTCTTTTTTTTTAATCAGCATTTTTATTTTTTTTAATTTTTATTGTTATGTTAATCACCATACATTACATCATTAGTTTTTGATGTAGTGTTCCATGATTCATTGTTTGTGCATAACACCCAGTGCTCCATGCAGAACATGCCCTCTTTAATACCCATCACCAGGCTAACCCATCCCCCCACCCCCCTCCCCTCTAGAACCCTCAGTTTGTTTTTCAGCGTCCATCATCTTTCATGGTTCGTCTCCCCCTCTGATTTACCCCCCTTCATTCTTCCCCTCCTGCTATCTTCTTTTTTTTTTCTTAACATATATTGCATTATTTGTTTCAGAGGTACAGATTTGTGATTCAATAGTCTTGCACAATTCACAGCACTCCACCATAGCACATACCCTCCCCAATGTCTATCACCCAGCCACCCCATCTCTCCCACCACTCCCACTCCAGCAACCCTCAGTTTGTTTCCTGAGATTAAGAATTCCTCATATCAGTGAGGTCATATGATACTTTCTAATCATTAAAAGTTTCTATCTCCTAATGATTATATACAGTATCTTTTCTGAGAAGGAAAAGAACCACTCATCCTTATTTAGCTACCTCATATGAGAACCAAGGTCTCGTGGTGATGTTGAAGGTGATCAGAAGTGGATTTTGTGGAGGGCCCCACAGCACAAGTGGGAAGGGGTGTGGGGATAAATGCTGGTGCTGACTTCTTAGATTTGCCACCATGAAGAAGTATTATTTTCATAACATTACAGATAAAGAAAACTAAAGCAAGATAAACAAAGAATAATGTGGGCAGGAAAGTTTGGATAGATGAATCAGGCTTTGAAATTAATCTGCAAGAATGAAAAGTATCATAAAGAAGAAGGGCTTTCCAAGATAAGGGAAGAGACTGAGCAAGGGCAAAATTTACATCTAGGTCAGAAGTCCACACATCTGGACAGAAAGAGAAGGGCTGCTGGATACAATTTTGTGGCCAGGACTGATGTTATACCTGTCTCTAACAACACATCCCAACCCACCCCTTGTTATACTAACTATTTTTCCTTCCCTCTTCTCTCTTCCCTATAGTGCCTTCTACTGCTACAGCCATGTGTCAGTCCTCCTATTCCATACCCTCTCATGGAAACGGTGGTGATTTGGCCTCCAGCTTTGATAAGTTTTTTAAGAACTACAACCAGGAATGCAAAATCATCTCTCAGGAAGCCATCAAGTCAATTCAATCAAGACTGAAGGAGGGAGACATTCAGAGTGCAGTTTCTACAATCAGTGATATATTGAGAGACATCAATAATGCCCCACTGAGCATTGCTGTGACTGGGGAGTCTGGGGCAGGGAAGTCCAGCTTCATCAATGCCCTGCGGGGCATGGGACACGAGGAAGAAGGGGCTGCCCCTACTGGGCCAGTAGAGACAACCTTTGAGAGAAACAAATATAAACACCCAAAGTTTCCCAATGTGACATTATGGGACCTGCCTGGCATAGGGACCACTAACTTGCAGCCTCATGAGTATCTGGAGAAAATGAAATTTGGTGAGTATGACTTCTTTATTATCATCTCTGCTACACGCTTCAAACTCAATGATGCACAACTGGCTACAGCAATTGGAAAAATGAAGAAGAATTTCTACTTTGTTCGAACTAAAATAGACAGTGATTTATATAATCTAAAAAGGAGTCAACCCAACAAATTCAATGAACATGAAATCCTGCAAAGGATCCGCAATGACTGTGTGACTCAACTTCAGAAGGCCAATGTGAGTGATGCTCAGATCTTCTTAGTTTCCAGCTTTGAGTTGTCTCGCTATGATTTCCAAAGCCTGGAGACCACCCTTCTGAGGGACCTCCCAGCCCACAAGCGCCACATCTTCATGCAACACCTGCCGAATATTACTGAGGCCATCATTGACTGGAAGAGGGATTCCCTGAAACAGAAGGTCTGGCTGGAGGCCATGAAGGCTGGAGCATTGGCCACTGTCCCTTTGATGGGTTACATCAGTGATAAAGATGTAGAGACTTTAAAGGACACTTTAACACTCTACAGGGTTTACTTTGGGCTGGATGATGCATCCCTGAAAACCATGGCCAAGGACTTTCACGTGTCATTGGAGAAACTCAAGGCAAACCTTATGTCTCCCCATTTGCTATCAATTGAGAAGGATGATGGGTCCTTAGGGGAAAAACTGTTAAGATATGTGGAAAAATTCTGCTCTGTTATTGGAGGACCCATTGCTGCTGGTCTTTATTTTAGGAAGATTTACTATGTGCAAAATTATTTCCTTGAGACTGTGGCAAGTGATGCGAAAGTTCTTCTTAAAAATGAAGAGATTTTTAAGGACTCTGAAGAACCTGGGCAAGCTTATCTACCTCAGGATGTTGGGAATAAAAATGGGAAAAGTGAGGCAGCCAGCTCCTGAATTATTCTCAGTGTTGGCATGGCACTGGTGCCTGGAAAGATAACTTAGAGTTTCCTTTAAGCATTCTGACCCACTGCCCTCAAGGGTATCACAGATATTTCCATAATACACTCTTGAAAAAACTATGAACTTAGTGACTATTATTTGACAGTGAGAGCAATGAGCTCTAAAGAATCCTTCCTTCATATGATCCTTCATATGATTCTTTTGGAAAATATGAAGGACAGTAGTCTGGAATTTTCTGCTTAGCGGAGAGAATAACTCTGTGTGATGGTTACTTCATGCACAGCACTGGTCTTTCTACTGACATACTAGTTAAAAATGGCTATGCTCATAGTGGGTTCTGAAAAATGAATTTTTATAAATGCGTACATAGTGTATCTTTGGTGTTCCTGACATTCTGTTATGAATCCATAAATTCTTTTCCTTAAAGTTTTTTTAAAGATTTTATTTATTTATTTAACAGAGAGAGACAGCAAGAGAGGGAACACAAGCAAGGGGAATAGGAGAGGGAGAAGCAGGCTTCCTGTAGAGCAGGGAGCCTGATGCGGGGCTCTATCCCAGGCCCTGGGATCATGACCTGAGCTGAAGACAGATGCTTAATGACTGAGCCACTCAGGTGCCCCTAAAGTTTTTATTTAAATTCCAATTAGGGAACATACAGTGTAATATTAGTTTCAGGTGTGCAATATAGTGATTCAACACCTCCATGTAACACCCAGTGCTCATCACAAAAAGTACACTCCTTAATTCCCATCTCCTATTTAACCCATCCCCCCAGTCACCTCCCTTCTGGTAACCATTAGTTTGTTCTCTATAGTTAAGTGTCTGTTTCTTAGTTTGCCTTTCTCTCTCTTTTTTTCCCTTTGCTTATTTGTTTTTTTAAGTTCTTAAGTTCCACATATGAATGAATTCATATGATATTTGTCTTCTTTGAGCGACTTATTTCACTTAACATAACTCTATCCTCATCCATGTCATTGCAAATGGCAAGATTTCATTCTGTTTTATGGCTGAGTAATATTTCATTGTATCTATATCTATATATCATATCTTATTAATCCATTCATCAGTCAATGGACACATGGGCTGTTTGTATTATTTGGCTATTGTAAATAATGCTGCTATAAACATTGGGGTACATGTATCCTTTTTAATTAGTATTTTTCTAATCTTTGGGCACATACCTAGTAGTGCTGTGTCATTGGGTACTTCCATTTTTAACTTTTTGGGGAACCTCCACACTGTTTTCCAGAGTGACTGCACCAGTTTGCATTTCTACCAATGGTGCAAGAGGGTTCCCCTTTCTCCACATCCTCACCAATACCTCCTGTTTCTTGTATTGTTGATTTTAGCCATTCTGACGAGTGCAAGGTGATATATCATTGTAGTTCTGATTTGCATTTCCTTGATAATGAGTGATGTTGAGCATATTTTCATGGGTCTTTTGGCCAGCTGGATGCCTTCTTTGGAAAAATTCATGTCTATTCATGTCTTCTGTCCATTTTTATGTTATTTATTATTTGTATGTTGTATTGTATAAGCTCTTTGTATATTTTGGATACTAACCCTTTATCAGGTATGTCATTTGCAAATATCTTGCCCCATTCCAGAGGTTGTCTTTTAATTTTTTGTTGTTTCCTTCACTGTGCAGAAGCTTTTTCTTTTGATGTAGTCCAAATAGTTTATTTTTGCTTTTGTTTCCCTTGTCTCAGGAGACTCTTCTAGAAAGAAGTTGATAAAGCCAATATCAGGGAAGTTACTGCCTGTGTTCTCTTCTAGGATTTTTATGGTTTCAGGCCTCACATTTAATTCTTTAATCCATTTTTCTATTTATTTTTGTGTATGGTATAAAGAAGTGGTACAGGGTGCCTGGGTGGCTCAGTTGGTTAAATGACTGCCTTTGGCTCAGGTCGTGATCCTGGAGTCCTGGGATCGAGTCCCGCACTGGGCTCCCTGCTCAGCGGGGAGTCTGCTTCTCCCTCTGACCCTCCTCCCTCTCATGTGCTCTCTCTCTCTCTCTCTCATTCTCACTCTCTCAAATAAATAAATAAATAAAATCTTAAAAAAAAGAGAAGTGGTGCAGTTTTAGGGCGTGTCTCTGGTTTGTGTTGCATGGACTTTGCTGTTGTGTTTTGGCTGCTCTTTCAGGCCAATTGTCTGTAGAGGCTCTCCTTGCCTACAGTAGGCAGTGTTTGGTCCTTGTCCTGAATGTCCTGAGTTTTAACTAAGTGTGCTCTGGTCTTCTTGTGAAATGAGACCTGACACCACCTCTATGAGAACTGAAGCCCTGCAGAACTCTCTGGTTGGTGGGAGATGTGGTGTGGGCAGGGATTTGTACTGGTCTTCTGGGTGAGGAACCTGTCATGCTGGGACTGATGGAAGCCTAAGAAGGGCATTTTCACTGGAGCTCAGAGGGGTGGTGCTTGGTGTATACAAGTTAAGCAGCTAATGTTGGCACTCTGCTGTTTCCTGCAGGTGGCTCTGTGTTTATGCTGAGGGGTGGGGGAGGGAAAGGACACTGACCATTTCCTTTGTTCCCAGAGAGGTGTCTCCATGATGATGCCTCTCAGGGACTGGTCTGAGAAGATTGAATCTTCTCCCCTCTGTGTGCCCCAGGTGCTATTTAGATCACTGTTTCCAGACTGTCTATCCTCAGGTTGTTTGCCTGTGTTCTCTCCAAAAGCAGTGTAGTGCCTCTGGGATCTAAACCAGCCAAGGCCACTGACCTTTAAGACTCCAGGCTTTAAGCCCTACCAGTTTCAAGAAATCATGACATTCAGACCCTCCTGTTTCCTATGCCAATGGCTTTGGGGAAATGTTTTCCTTTTGTGTTACCTGTGTGCTCCATTCTCTCTTGTTCTTCTCTATGACCATGCCTCCTTTCCTTCCACAGCCACCCATGATCCCATTCTCCCCTAAACCATGGCTCTACATTTCCTACCTTATTTGATGTGGCCTCTTCTCTCCTTTAGTCATGGAGTTTGTTCTGTAGTCCTCATGGTCTATTCTTGGGGTATTTAAGATAATTTGATAGTTACCCAGTTGCATTTGTGGGACAAGGTGAGCCTAGGGTCCTCCTCCTCTGCCACCATTTTCCTCTCCAAAACATTTGCTTTCATTCATGAATGCATATATTCTGATCTTTAATAGATCATCAATTAATGTTCACTGATATCCTTCTTGTCCTTTCTTGGCTTATCATTGTATTTAATAAACATAAAAGGTAGATGAACATGTGTCACAGGAAATGAAAGAGAAACATTAGCTAAGAAAAATCTTTATCTGGGGTATTTGTGAGAGAGACAAGTGCATAAGATGGGAACATAGTCAAAGGGTTTGCATATTGTGGGCCTAGACACTCCATGCTTGCTAGCAGTATATTTTGTGCCTAAACTTCAGAGGTTAGGGAATAAGAGACAAGAGGATTGTGATTACTACATGGAAATAAAAAGAAAAATGCAAAAGGTCCTTAAACATATCCAATCCCTCATCTAATGAGGGAAATGCAAATTAGAAATGGCATCTACACTAAGATATCATTTATCCCATATTAGATTAGGGGAAATTGCAAAGTTTGGTGAAACTGTAGAAAAATAGTTGTTGTCCTACAATGCTGGTGGTTGCACAAATGATATAGCCTATAAGGTGATGAATTACACCATCTCTAGGGAAACTACACACACATTTACACTTTGCCACAGTGATCCCACTTTGAAGAATCTGGGCCATAAAAATTGAGAGTAGGTTGGTTTTTGGCAGGGGTTGGAAAATGGGAAAAAGATGTAATGTTATTGAAAGAGTACAAGCTTTCAGTTGTAAGATGAATATGACTATTGTCAATAATACTGTTTTGTATACTTGAAGTTTGCTAACAGTGTAGGTCCTGAGCATTACTACCATACACGCACAAAAGGTAAATATGTGAGGTGATGAATGTATTAATTGACTGTGGTAATCATTTCATAAAATGTATAATTATATCACATCATCACCTTGTGCACTTTAAATATATATGATTTCATCTGTCATTTTTAACCAAATAAGCTGGGGTGGGAGGAGGGACCAAAAAAAACTGGAAAAATTACCAAAAAATATATATTTAAAGTTATTAATTGCAGCACTATTTGAAATGGGAAAACACTAAGTTGAAATGATCTTCAATAGGAAATGTTATAGCCACAGCTGTGGCTATAACTGTGACAACTATACAAAGGAGTGAGTAATACCCTATATATGGCTATGCCTTCATCTCCAGGATATATTGTTTATTGTTCAATGAAAAAAGTAAGATGGAGAATTATGTGTATAGTATGTTACTGATGATCTAAGACAGTTCAAAATATAAATATATATTTGCATATATTCTTCATTAAACAAGAGAAAACTTTAGGAATAAAATTTAATTACCTACAGGGGAAGTGATGATACTGGGTAGAGTGTCAGTGGTAAAAGCTAGATTTCACTTAATGCAACTTATTTTCATTGGAACTATGCAAATGTTTTACATAGATATGTAACTGTATAGTTAAACAAAAGACCCAACATTTACAGAAGTACAAAGCAAATCAAAAAATTAAGCTAATGGGTGGTCTAACAAAGCAGACTTTTAAAAATTTTATTTATTTATTTATTTATTTATTTATTTATTTATTTATTCATAATTTAAAAAATTCCAGTATAATTAGAGTTAAGATGGCAGAGGAGTAGGGGGTCCCTAAGTTTGTCTCAGCCCTGGAATGAGATGGCATAGGCTTGCAGGCCCCTTGCGAGCCAGGGTCATTCAAGGACTGCAGTGAGAGTTAGGAAAGCCAGGCAAACCTGAGCAAGGAGGAGAAAATGTTCTCTTCCCCTTATCTCATGTTGCAAGTTCTGAATGCCTGGATCTGCAAGAAGTGGCTCTTGCCTAGATTAGAGGCGTCCCTCCTTAGGACAAGAACATGCTGTCTCCAGAGGAAGGGTGGCTGAGAGAATTCTTTAATGTATCTTTCTTCAAGGATGTTAGTTTAATCCCATTATGTGTGAAAGTACATATTGTTATGCTTACCTGATTGCTACAAGTATATAGCTATGTGGAAAATAAACGACAGCATGCAGTTGCAAGTGCTGCCTTTGCTCTGCATCCCCTGTGTCCCGGTGATTTCGCAGCCCTTACCCAGGGACCCCAACACACTAGACGTTGACACTGGAATACAGCCAGATAGGTATCAAATCATTCTGAACATCTGAGAAATCAATCATAGATCTGAGAAAAGAAATGCTGTGAGTCTACTTGTAGAAAAGTTAGGAGGTGTAGAGATTTGAACCTGCAGTGACATAACTGAGGATATGGCAGAGGAGAGGGACCCTGCTTAAGGAGACTACTGCAAAGTATTATAAACAAAAGAGAGCAAAATTGGGATGTTTAAAAGTCTGCTACAGTGAAGGACGTGCCT